AATTGTTGATAATTTATTTTTCTCTATTGTTTAGGTGAAGTGGTAGAACATTATGGCTATGGTAGATGTGTAATACTATAGAATAGGTACTGTAAATTTAAAAAAGAAAGTTTTATCAAACTGTTTCCTCCCTTATTGCAAACGCAAAGCTTGAGTATAACTGCAATAAGCATTTTATACTTATATTCCAACCCCGTACGAAGGACGGGTACTCTGCTAGTAAATAAATAAAAATGTCTTTATTAGCAAGCGCTCCTCAGTACAAACTGTTTTACAGGATGACTCTTGTGAATTAATTAATCCTAACTTAAAACTAAAGACAAAACAAAATACTGATCCCTCTATTTACACGATTTTAGCTATTTACAAAAATACATTTACGAAAACGTTCACCTGCATCACGTTCACGACAAAAAGGATGAATCCAATGACTTCTGTTATTTGTTCTTAGTAAACCACTTGCTTCCATTACACACACACAAGTTTTATTAATAATGTAAAAGGATTACCTCATCCAACCACAGTTGCTGGTATGACGACTAGTTTCGTTCCTTAGAGCTTCGTCAGGTAATTATGCAACCACATAATCAATGTACTAACATTGTGGTATGTCAAAAGATTCTTTAAAATACTGTTAAAATCACAATAGTCAAAACTAGTCATGTTGATCAAATTATAAAAAAAAAGAATAAAAAGTGATAAAACTGATTAAAACTGTGAAGTCTGGCCAGCACTGTCTATTCACTTGCAAATTGTTGCAAATTGATCTTGCAAATTGTTTTTTTTTACTTACTAAATACTATATTGAATAATATATGTAACATTTAAATGTGATAATGATTTATTATATCACACACTCATTATATTTATTATGATGAATGAATTATATATTTATTCCAACAAAGTATTTACAAAAATTGTACACAAATATTTAATGGAAAAGAAAAACATAAATGTGAAATGAACTGAATAAATTAAATTAACCTTTTGAACTAATTCTATTTGATCAAATAGAAAAAATAAATAAATGAAAGAAGATGGTTGAAAATATGAGCTAAATGGAATCACAAGAACAAATAGTGAAATAAATAACTATGAAAAAATATTAAGTGGCATAAAAAGTTAAAAAAATAATATTTATATAAATATATAAATATGTATAAATGATAATTATGCTATGTTTAACCAAACTGTAAGAATTATTTAAATAGTTGATTGGGTTCTTCATTTATTATGAAATGTTCAAGGAGTATTCTATATCAGGAGATTGGGAAGCCAAACACTCAAGTCCCATTGCTAGTAGCCGCCAGCAGCCTTCCTTGTTCACCAAAAAGTCTGTAGGAGCGACACGAGTCAGACATCACTAAGTCCCAAAGTTAATGTATTTCCTGTGAAAATTGTGTGGACGTGTGTGATGTCCACATAAGCGACCAGGTCCACACAGTCTGGTCACATTCACACTCATGTCCCCACAGCTTATGCAGCACGAAAGCACAGGTGTAGTCCCTAGCTCTGTACACATCCAGACACACACGCACACACACACACACACACACACACACACACACACACACGCACACAAACACACACACACACACACAAATATATATATATATATAACATATAAATATATATATGAATTTGAACGGATGGTGTTTTTGGCCTCTAGGGACCTCAAAACGAAAAAAAATCGGTCCCGTGTCCAGGTCTTACCATGAGTACTACGGTAATAGCTTATTCCCTATATGGGAAATTCGCTAAAAGAAGGCATTTCTCTGTTATTATTTATCCATTCTTAACAAATAAGGTTTCATTGAAAACTACATTAAATTTACTAAATCTTTTTTCACTTGCAATTTTTTCGTTAAGTTAACGGTTTTCGAGAAATTTGGCATCAAATATTTTAAAGTACTTCCATTTTGAAACGATTAATGATTTTTTTGTATAGTTTTAAACAAAGATAATTGTTAATAAGATAACCGGTTTTGCAAAATCTCAACGCTGTATTCCAAACCGTTTAGGAGTTATCACGATTACTAGAAAAATACCGGTATGGATCATAAACATAAACAAATGACGTTATTGGCCCGAATCCTATACTAATATGTAGCATTGAACATATGTTTTGACAGTTTCATTTAAGCAATGTTAAATAATGTTTATTTTCGGCCTTCGGGCCAACACCGTCATTTGTTTATGTTTATGATCCATGCCGGTATTTTTCTAGTAATCGTGGGAGTTATTAATCTTTTGTAAAAAACACATAAATACCGACAGCCGGTAAACTAGGCACCGAGACCCATGTTCCTATGGTGAAATGTGTTTGTCTTGACCTCATAACTCATAACTCATTTATTAAACCAAAATAACAAATACAAAATTTGCATTGGTCATGTCAATTAATAGAACTAATATTAAAATAAACAATAGACAATGTTGCTTCAATAAAATAATACCAATTACTTCTTACAACAACAAAAAAACTAACTAACTAAACCCATCAGCGACACAATCTCGAACACTGTAGTAACCCTTGGCCAAGAGTATTTTTGATTTGCTTTTTAAAGCTGTTCAAGTCCGACTCCAGCTGAAGAGAGGGAGGGAGGAGATTGAAAAGTTTAATGCCATTGTAATGAAAGTGTCTCTTGAAAAATGTAGTTCAATGAGATGGCAATTTAAGATGAGAATTGTTACGAAGTGAATAGGAATGTGTAAGTGAAGATTGGTATTGGTGTAAGTTTTTTTTATGAGAATCAAAGTTTCCAAAATGTATATTGAGGGAAATGTTAAAATGTGTGATGAAAGAAAGTATTGCCTGCAAGATGTTCTTCTTTTCAAACCAAAGACTGCCCTAACTGCCCTCTTCTGGAGTCGGAAAAGGACCTAAGCAATAACGCTATATACATGTGTCCAGTGAGTTATATAGATTTATGTGTGTGTGTCCTTAAACGCGATACCTTGAGTAATTTTTGTCCGATTTTGATGAAATTTGGTTTAAAGGTGTAAGGCGGGATAAACTTGATTGAGTCCGCGAACCAGCATGATCGGACCATGGGAACGGGGTTTTACGGGGGTTTTATGGGGTAAAAATTGGGTTTTCTCATTTTTGACCCCTAAAACACAAAATTTTCCAATTTCTCTCTAGACCTTTTTAAAGAAATTAAAAACAAATAATGTAGTATACAAAAGTGTTTTTGTACGATTATTGTTAACGGAGAAATATCAAAAAATGTATAATTGAAAATTCCCATGTTATTCTTTTGGAGAATATTGTAAAATGTTATAGTTTGCTTGTATATGGATATATTTTTATCAAACTTAGCAATTTTATTTATTTTATACTAAGCTATTAATATTTTACTAGAAAACTCACTTTATTAGTTCCCTTGTTGCAGCAAACCTAGGTACTTGTTAAACCTAATGTTAAATAGATATAATTGAAAATCATTTCAGACGAATGGAAATTCGCTTAGTCGGCTGCGGTGGGGGTATTTTTTGTATACAATTTAATTCAAATTACCGTTTAAAATAATAGTTGTTAAGCACAGCAACGCGTGCCGGGTACTGCTAGTAATATTATAAGCATGTACTTCTTCATCTGTTAACCAATGCTCACTCAAACACATCAGGTAGGTGGTTCTCTGTAAATAGTGTGATTAAATTAATTTTAGACCTTATACATTGTACATTCAGGTAAGAGGTAAGAAACTCTTAAATTGCTACGTCTAGGTTTACATTTACCTTGAATGGGCGCGCTGCGGTTACCTTCAGTCTGTTCAATCCTTTCTGCAGACCTCTGATCCGCCTGAATAAAACACTCAGCTGCTTGACTAATTTCTAGATTATGATTAATTTTTTGGTACTCTGTCGCCACTCTCATGACAGAGAGGTGTTTTTTTTTTTTTAATGTTGTGTTGTAGGGAATAGTCGTATAGTCTAATCCCTATCCCCGGTCCCATCGTTGACGTCTTCTGCTTCTCCCAATTCTCCACGGTACCTATACCTTCCACAAAGATTCGTGGCGGCTGAGGGTTAAAAAAAAGGACGGTCGGGTAGTGTCCCGCCCCTAAATTAGCCCTCGCTTGGCTGCTCTGGGCTGGGTTTTGACCATGAGTCACCCACTGGGCTCAATGGATAGTTGGTAAAATTTGTGTATATCACCATGAAGTGTATTAAATAACGTCATTTTTGTAACCTGCATCAAATAACAAGAACATTGAGCCCAAACACGAAATAATTGCGATGATATTACATTTGATTTTAAAATAATAAACAGTTTGTTTTCAGAACAAGGCATATATTAAGGTCAATGTATTTACAATTTATTTAAACTACTGTTTACTAATTATTTACTATTTACAATTATGTTCAGAGAATATTGTCCAACTTAATAATATCACAATTATTTGTTATCACATTCAGCTCCTGCGTGAATTTGGACGACATTCCCTGAACATAATTGTAATCACTGTACTAAATAGTTAGAAATTGTAAACAGTAGTTTAAATAGTTTGTAAATACAGTAACTTTAAATATATACCATACCTTGTTCTGAAAATTGTATATTATTTTAAAACCAGCAAGTGTACACTTAATATCATCGCAATTGTTTCGTGTTTGGACTCAATGTTTTTGTTATTTGACGCAGGTTACAAAAATGACGTTATTTAATACACTTTGTGGTAATATACAAAAATTGTAACAACTATGCATTGAGCCCAGTGGGTGACTCATTGTCAAAACCCAGAGCAGCCGAGCGAGGGCTAATTTAGGGGCTGGGACACCACCCGACCGTCTTAAACCCTCAGCCGCCACTAATCTTTGCGGAAGGTACTTTCAGTTACTTACGGAAGTATAATCAGTACTTTCAGTGCAGTCGCAGTCTATGGTCTGTCGCTGTCCCAGTCGTAGTCATTGAGATGCCGCTCGTATTCGATTCGACGGAAAGACGGAATCAGTTACTGTATTTACCCCTCCTCCAGTCGCACTTCCTCCTCTAGTCTAGTGCTAGTGTCAGTGAATCCGTCACTGGCATTGTTTCTTTCTTAACGTTTTGTCGTCTGCCAACTCTTACGTTTCTAGTTTCTTCATTTCTTGAGAATATATACCCATCCAGTTCTATAGTTTTATCTCTTAATCAGGATTTTCCTTGTTTTACCAAAACCAAGGACTTAATTCTTGAGTTCAGCTAAACTCATTTATCTTTTTTCATTTATAATTTAGTTGGAAGTACAGTATTCTGTGTTTAACTCTCTTTCAATTGTTTAACTTACACATCGTCTGAGGAAGAGTAAACGAACCTCTGTGTGCATGGGGGCTGACGACGATAGTTTAGTTTTGAAATAAAGTGAGCGTAAATAATAGTCATCTTAGGCCTACTATTATGTTCAAGGAAGTTTAAGGCTCCAATATCCATCCATCCTCTATAAGTTTTCCGGGTAGCCGGGCTAAACTTATGTTTAGGCCCTAGCATACAAGTCAGGCCTATATTAAAATTCTTTGCGATAGCTATACGTAAGGCCAAGGTAGGGTATAGGCCTACCTATTCTACAATTTAAAGTCACAGACTTTTATTTGACTTTATACATTTCTGCCCCAATTCTACCGAGCCAATTCTTTAGAATTTCTTAACATGGGTGCATATTACAAGTGTGTTGTCATTTGTATTTACGTTTTTTACAACATTATATCATTTATAAGTGCAGAGAAAGAGCCTGTTGAGGATGAAATCATAAAAACGGACTCTATTACTCCATCACCTATGGTAAGTCTTGTATTTCCATTAGTTAAGCTATTAAGTTTTTAACTGACAGAACTTTGATAGGCAGGCTCCTCTGTGATAACAAATTTTTACTAGGCCTACTTCAAGCTATAAGTTAGGGTAGGCCCTAATTATTTAGTATGTCTAAAATGGGATATCATTTATTTATTTATTTATTTCCCAACGGTTTACACCAGTTTACAAGAATGTATACAATATTAAAAGATGGCAAAATCATGCAACAGTGAGTGGTAACAGCAAGAACATAATTAATGAACAAAAATTAACAAGTAACAAGTAAATAGATACTATATAATAACAATCTTGAATAAGCGTCTTATTATCAGCGTCTTATTATCTTAGTATCATGGGCCTAACCTAATTTTTAGATGTCTAGGCCTATGTACTTACAGTTTTTTCATGCTGAATCCAAAAATACAATCAGTCTTTGTCATTGTATAAGTTTTAAAACAATGGAATTTATTCCTCCTAAAATACAAGTAATTAGAAGCTATGCCACTACCACTTCCAATAATGAGACAATCGTCCTCATTTCAACCGTCAACGTCTGTTAACTAACGTACCACAGTGTATAATTTTATCTATCAGCAACTAATAAATGATATTACATGTGTAAGTTAATAAGGAGACCCCAACAATGAGAGATCCGAAGCTTAGTAACAATATTTTCTTATTTAATGAACGGTGAACGGTAAGCCCCGTTCACATGGGGCGAGTTTACAAGCTACACGCCGGCTTTTTTACACACAGCTAGTAAAATAGCTCAGTGTGAACGACGTACTCGCTCAAAAGCTGCTTGTTAAAAAGCTCTGGAAAAAGTTGACGCTGTCGCTACTTTACACGCCAACTCGCCAGCTTTTGAGCGAGTAGGCGTGTAAAGTAGCTCAGTGTGAACACAGTTGCTTGTGCTTGTGCGCTTGTTACTCAAAGATGTTGGAGGATTTGGTTCAAGCCAGCTACTGAGCGAGTGGAAAAAGCATCGTGTGAACGGCTACAAGCACACTCGCCAACTCGCCGGCGTCTTTCTACACGCCGGCGAGTTGGCTAGTGGCTAGTGGACAAGCTCCGTGTGAACGAATACAAGCACACTCGCCAACTCGCCGGCTTTTTACACGCTGGCGAGTAGCTTGTAAACTCGCCCCGTGTGAACGGGGCTTAGCAGTAAGACATGCTGCAGTAGAGAAGTTATTTTTGAAACCCTTTTTTATTAAATTAAGATCAGCTAATCTAATATAACCTAACCTAACCCAACCCAACCCAAATATTAATTTTTTAAATCACATTTTATGACAGAAAAGGCATGTGAGGAAGATAGGTCGGACTTAAAGCGGATTCGTGATTGCAGTTTATTAAGTCCTTTGAAGTAAGGTTATATTAGGTAGGCCTAAGTTAAAGTTTTGGTCATAATGAACCGACTCATTAATTTATGCTAACTTAACTTACTTTATGCTAGTGTTTTTGCCAATTGAAATAGTGGGTGAAAAACAATGAAATAACTTAACAATATCACAAATGCAAGAAGTTAATGAGTCTGTTCATTATAAACTAAACTTTAACTGCCTAACCTAACCTCACTTCAAAACACTTACCGTAATACAATCACGAATCCGCATATAAAACCCGACCTTCCTTCCCCGCATGCCTAAATAAGAGCTGATTATTTGGTTTCAAAACGAATTGATTTCATTCCGCATTAAGTCGAGTATAAAAAGCTGTTTGCTCTCCTCACTCAGTCCACATACGGACCCATCCAGACCACGCCATACCATCAGTAACGCTCAATGAACCTTAGATTCGTAATTTTAACCTTCGTTTTACGGCCACTTAGGAATCTCTCCAACAAAAAATGATTGCATTTTTGGAATCAGCGTGAAAATAACTGTAAGTAGATATCTAAAAATTACACGATATCCCATTGTAGACATATTAAAAAATTGCTGAAGTGAGGCCTAAAAGTTAATTTTTGGTTTGGATAGGCCTAAGTTAACACATTAGCTGCGGCACGTCGAATGGCAGGCGTATCCCCAGTGTGGCCCAGCCCGCAGCGTCCAGCAAACCTGATTGCCGCGTGTGATTGGCTTTCAATTTCGGTCTGACGAATAGCAAATAACGTGCGGTGTAATGTCCTGCTTTACGACGAGAGTCGACATAGTTCGCTAAACACCCACAGATAGCAGCACTGCTTGGAACGTAGCCGGTCCCATTGGAATTGTATTGTCAAATGGAGGGAAATAGACAGGACAAAAAGTTGATTTTTAAGCTTGCCAGATGGGGATTTTATGGGAAATTTACAACCAACCTACACCACAACAAAATGCAAGTCACACACTTCACACTAACATGGTATAGGTCCGCTTTCGAATGACGCTAGAGCAAAAACGAAGATATACAAAAGGCATTGCCGAGCATTCCCGATCAGGTACAGGGGTTGGGCACCGTACCTGATCGGGAACGGCCCCACTTAACGTGTTAAGTTTAGCTGTAGATTGAATCAAAATATTTTCATGTTTAATTAGGCTAAGTTATACGATGGATTCGGTTAACTTGTATAAGTTTTTCCAAATAATTGAAGGACTTAATCATAATTCTTTATTATTATCATTTTCATTCATTCAATTATTTAAGAATATAAGTTCAGTTATATTTAGACTTACGCTCCACATTCACTCGATTGAAATTTTTACTAAAACTATCGATAGCCTATGTCGATTGTTTCATTTTATTGTAAATCTCGCTATTAAGGAAGTAACAATTGTTATCAGCAGCATTTAGATTACATAGTGTATAATTAATACACTTATGTTTTCTAACATAACATAATGTTATGTTAATTTTAAATAACTAGTGTCCCTGTTGATCGAATTCGAGCAATTGCTAAGTATTACAGGCGTTATTTTAAAACGAATTTCAACCAAGTCAGCAAATATTTGTCGCAAACTGTTACATTAGCAAACTTATTGACTGTTTACAATTATTGACATATATGCTCTTCTTCTCACTTTTGATTTCTGACAACAGCTGGAGTTTCATAACAGTTTTTGTTTCCAATGTTAATCTTATGGAAAAATACGAAACTTTAAAGGGCTCCAGGGCCTTACTCTCTCATTATTTCCCTAAAAAAAAGTTTCCTGCACAACTTCACGTTACGCTCTTTCCAATGACACCAAAAACATGACAATCGGTTCAGTAGTTTCGGAGGAGTAATTGTCACAAAAAATCTGCTTGCGTATTAAATAAGAATAGATTTAAGTATATTTACAAATAAAAATACTCAGTGAAAGTAGAGTACCATAGTCTTTTTCAGGGTCAAAAGTGTAAAAAGCAACGGAAAATGAACAAACAGTCATAAATGAGAGCGAGGAAAGATAAGTTATAAATTGTGGGTTAATGTACACAACACAGGCATGTGGCAGCCAGCAGAAAAACTTTTCAGATGAACTTGTCAACATTTTGTTGGCAAAAGTTGGTCTGAAGAGCTCATGAAATTTTTGTTGTTGCCTAAATTTTAAATAATCTAAGAAAAGGAGACAGCAATGAGTATGAAACCTACCATTATACTGATGTTTGTTTGTCAGTGTGCAGTAAAATGCACATCAATAAAGTCCGGACAGTCAAAACATCTAAAATAAAATCATGAACACTTTAGAACTAATGTTGTGTCAGGACCAAATTTAAGTATCCTTGATAAAATTTATATTGACTATTCACACCTACCAATCAATTAAATTGTTTTTTTATAACCCATAACTTAAGTCTAAGGCCTGTAATCAAGATATTTGATGCTATATATTTTATCAAGCCACAATTCCAACTTTTACTAGCATATAAGTGGAGAGTTGTTTTTTAATGTCACTCTAACTTGGGTGTATTTTAAGTGTATTGGCGACGTCCTGTAATCCAGCTACTAGGAGGTCACGAATTTTGGATATATATAGGCATGCACTGTGGATACGATACTCCCTGGTGTTGTAACGGTGTCTTTTTATTTATTTTTGATTTATTATGTTATGTAGGCCCAATTCTTATTAATTTATTGAATTCTTATGATTAACACTTAGCTTAATCTTAGTGCCGCTTCCTGGGTCGAAGCTCCGTCCCTGGCGCCGCTTCGTCACGTCGCTAAGTTGGCTACTTAGTCTTGTTACTCGATCTCCGTCGTTGAAGTTGTAGTCCAGTTCAGTCGATCACCTGTCGTTGTAGTTGTGTTCCAATTCAATCGGTCACCTGTATCACCGGTGTCATCATCTTGTTTCTCGTCTCCGTCGTTGTAGTCTAGTACAGTTCAGTCGATCACCTGTAGGCCTATCTCCATCTTGTTCCTCGGCTTCACGATTACCTTCACCTCACAATAGTAGTTGTCAAGACTGGTAGTAACAATAAGACACGTTGTGTTGAGTTTATAATGTAGTATTTATTGTGTAAATAGTTTCCACAGGGCAACACGTCACTAACTAGGTCCTGATGATCCAAATTAATTAAATTAACATCCAGTGACTAACTCTATTACCGTCCACCCTCACTCAACACCGGGCTCCTCTCATCTCTCTTGTCTTAGGTCTTTTATCTCTCACCCCCACTCAATACGCTACTCCCCTGTATCCAGGCTTTGGACTCGTCCACTAGACATTTTGCCCCGTAGAGTGCTGCCCCTAGTGGCCGAGTTTTGAATTAAGTCGCATTGTAGAGCGCGCTATCAGCCATTCATGTAGTTAAGCGGTATTTTGATTTTTGATTCTAGTAAATAAGAAAAATAAGTCCTACCCGTTACAGTGTGGATTAACGTCCACGCTAGTGAGTACTACGACTATCCGCAGTAGGCCTACTATCCTGATGATTAGACCAATTTGTTAATACCAAGGTAAAAATGTGGTTCGGATTCCACTATAAACTGTAGGTCCCTTAGTTGCCTTAACTTGTATGGGCTATTAATTAACAGCTGTGTCTAAGGAATATGTCGGCCTTAGTCACTAACAAGACTACAAGATCGCACCACTCATCTCCATTCATACTTGGCTTAAAATACCTAATTTGTATGGTCGCCATTTCAAAGAAAAGTAAAAAGTATTAAAGTAAGAATTTAGATTTTACTCTCCTACTAAACAGCAATATTATCAAGATAGTATAATGTTGTCTTTCATCAATACTAACTTTTATTTTATCTGCCAATTTCATTTTATAGGTCCCCTGTTAAACTTTGTAGAGTGGGGCTACCTTTAAAATTGTAGTGTATTACAAATTTAATTTAAGTAGGTACGGTACACATCTACTTGATATTTGTTCCAACCTTATCCCCAGCCTATACGTTTGGCTGTTGCAACATGTTGGACAAGATTGCTGGTTGGCCAAAGAAATTGATACATATTTTAGTTTTTTTTTAGCCCAAAAGGAATTTAAGATCCCCCCCCCCCAAACACCTAACTTTTAACTTTTTTAGAAGACAAAAACTTGGATACTTTAGCCTAATTTCTTTTACTGGGTTTATCTTTTAATCTTTTTTGAGTTGCGGTATTAGAAAAATATTTAACTAACAAATGACAGTTTTAGTAAACTTACAGTACTTTGTCTTGTGGAGATTTGGGATCCCACTGGGTGAAAGCGTGTCATCATAGGCTTATTTACTATTTGCGTCACGTTAGATGGCTTTGATTTGAATACATGAGTTTAGTATGTTCATGACATCCTTCACCTATCTTCAATTTAATTTACTGTCTGTTCTTTAACCCCCTTTTCCTCTCTCCCAATCTTATTGTCACACAGCGAATTTTCATTTGTAATTTTTACTTTCTCCCTCTATACATAGTATATGGAGAAAGTATTGTTTTTGGAAAAATTTTGGAGTTTTTGGGTGGATATCCGTTTTGGCTCCCTCTGAACCCAAAAAATTGGTTTTCGAAGTGATGTCTGTGTGTGTCTGTGTGTATGGATGTGTACCGATTTTGATGAAATATGGTATGTAGGTAGGGTTTACCAAAACCCCCCCTACCCCCCCCTTACCCTCTTATTTAAGGTACCCTTTTATTTATCATTGTGGCTGGATCCATGGTATCTCCAGGTGTGTTTAGATTTAAAAAAATTGATTTTTAATGGTGATTTTCCCATGAATAAATAATAATTTAATATTACCTTCTTCCGTTCAAATTGATTGTAGTTATTTACGATGAATTTACGAGTTATTTCCCATTAAACCCATAAAATAACAGAAAATTGTATTTTCTATAAAATGGCCCAAACTGTTTTGATACAAATTTAGTTTATTGTAGCCCTTTAATTTCCGAAGAAAATGGTAGAACTCATATTGCTGTAAAAATTACGGTCCAAAAGTTATTGTAAATTAGGCCTAACTGATGTTATTTTCCCATAAAAACCCCATAAAATAAGAGGAAATTGTATTTTTGAAAAAAAAACAACTGGTTTTGATTGAAATTATTATGTGATGGTCCTTATAGTTCTTAACAATTTAGGGCAACCCCTATTGCTGTGAAAATTACGGTTTAAAAATTATTGCACCTTTTGTGATTTTACCTATTAAATATCATTAGTTACTCTCGTCGCTTATCCATGATAAAGGTTGTTGACAAGCTAATGGGAGAAAGTATCCGTCAGATTGCTGCTACCGTTTATTTTCATTTTGTTCTATTTACAATTTGTTTGACAAGCTGCATACTGTAAAAATAATCTTTTGTTACCCTACATATAATTTTTGTACAACTTTATTAAGTATTTTATGGTGTCACTTGTCTCAATTCCTTGTATTAACTTGAAAGTGTTGAATCCATAGATCTGGTTTGACAGCCATCCATCAGTTCCTCAACAATAAACTTCTACTTGAATTGATGAGACCTGATCAATAGTAGGGCATTATTGGCAGTCTGACAATAAAGAATTCAAAGCTGAGCCATTTATCTTTGCAAATAACAAAAAGTTATGTTCCATGTGTAAATTGATAATTAGATATTTATTATATTGTATTTATTATATTCAACCAGTATACTACTTATTTTTGCTAATAGTAGGCAAAACATGTATTGAATTAAACAACTTGAATTATTGAGTCAGTGATGTTGAATCCGTCTCATATGAAATGAAACAAAAAAAGTGCTTTATTGTTACCAAACTACAAATAGTAGACCTCCATAAATGTACGAAATACACAAAACTAAAGTTAACATAAAATAACATACTGCTTAACAATACCTAACACTTATTAAACATTTGTCAATGTTGACTGTCTATTTGGTTGGCAACATAAATATTTTCTCATTAACAAAACAATTACAACTGTACAGTAATATAAGAACAAAGAAGAAATCATTTACACTTTTGACTTCATTATTCAAAAAATTTTTTAAAACTTAACTATTTGACATCCATCTTATAATCGACTCTATAATATCAAATGAATAACTTAGTGAAGAAGTAGGTTTAAAGACAGATGGTTTTAATTAAATTCCAAACACTTTTTCTCACATTTTTTTACAATCTAAAAATATTTATTCAAGGCTTTACAGACAACTTTGGGAGGATTCACTTGAAGTTCGGTGGTGATGAATACTGCAGACACCTATTAAATAAGTTTTAGCTACTACAAAAAGTCCCTACCTAAAAGTTTATCCCGGGTAAGAACCTGACCCAGCTATCTCTGTTCATTGGTTTTTGAATTAAAGACACCGGCCTTAAAAATCTGCTTGTCTTAACCAGGATCAAGTAATTAACAAAGCTACAAAAACAATCATACCCATTCCACCTTTATAGCTTTTTCTTACTTGGGTTGGAATATGCCCAATTGTGTCCTCTTCTACCAAAATGTTGTAACTTGATAACATTAAAAGAACCATAATACTCATGATGATACACAACATGTCATAAGTTTACAAGTGTTTTTCACATGTAATTCAAAAGATTTAGCAATATTTACTTGTTACCAAATTTTTAAATAAAAAATGTCTTGTAAAAAAGTGGAAAATTACTGTTTTTAATCAAATTTACAAAAAAATGTACAAAAACAAAAAAAAAATTTGTTGCAGTGGGGGTATTTATAATTGAGTAGGTATACTGTAAGTTGTAGAGAACATGACAAATAGGCCTACTGAATTGTAATAAAACTCCCTTACAAATTAAATCAATTTATTGTTAGTTTTCATTATACCACTTAGATATCAAATTAATAAGACCATTAACTCTTCAGTAATCCTTGTTGTGCTGATAAGCCTCAAGATAGGTGGTTAAAAAGCCTTCACTTCAGTTAGCTTTCTTTTGTCTGATGTGGACTTAGTTGTGTCTAGTGTCCTCCCTTGCTGGCAGAACATTTCACCTGCTTACTGCATAATCAGCCGCTTTCAACATGAATGACACTATTGTAAGTTGTCTTTTGTTTAGTATCTAAACGAAAAATAAGTAAACTGTTGTCGTTTGCTTGTTTATGAACATATTTCGATCAAAATTAGAAAATGCATTTATTTCATAATAAACTATTACCATAAAAAATGTATCCTCCCTGTTGCAGCAAACCTAAGTACTCGTTAAACTTATACTATTTAATACTAGGCCTAATAGGGAATAAATGTGATATTTTTAAAGGAACATTATATTTAGTGTAAATCCAATCAGGCAAATAGAAATTCGCTTACTCTGCAGGTTTGCTGCAGCGAGGTATTTACTACTTATACTATAAACCTTGGCAAGCTGACATTGCATAACATAGAAAATTGTTCCTTTTACATCAAAACTAACTCAACTCCCATTCATAACCTTCCTTTAGTTATCCTTTTGTATGTCTGTATTATTCAGTTTGGATTATTTTAAATGTTAATCATTTTTATGTCAGCTCTTGAAACTTGTTGGCAATATTTGAAACCACTTGGATTAAAAACACAGAGAATACATTTACAGTATATGTTCTCTACGATTTAAGTGAGAAATGTATCTGATTTCTTTAGGTATATCCAGAAACAATTTTGAAGAAGGTTGTCTTGGGTAGGCCTACAGCAAAAATGAATTCCACACACTATTTGTAAGTCCTTTAGCTATCCAGTGTTAACATTCTATCTTGAACTCTTGTTGCTTCCTATTACTGGATGGGTCTCCAAAACTCTGAACTGGATTTCCCAGTCCAGTCTTATTCAGAAGAATCAGTTCCTTAATGCTACTCGGTGTAATCATGTGTGTTGGATGAGTTTTTAACTACACCACTAACTCTTTTCTTCTGGGATGCAGTAGATAGTACATTTTTGATGGCCAGACAATATTTCAGTCGCGCAAGCTAGCTTTGAAAAGGTTGCCAGTTTGATCATTTTGGTGGACCAAGTTTTCCTTGATCATTGAACATAAGATAAATTATCCTGGCTGAAGAACAGCTGGTCGACACAAAGCTACTACACAAGGCATTTCTCTAATTTTAAAATCATACTTCACTCATATTTTGGTCCAAGTTCGCCCAGTTGTATCCCCATCTCAATCGGTAACATAAAGTACGGTAACATGATAATAATTTCTGGATCATTTAATTCTCACATGACATCTGATGTGGGTTGTTTTATGTTTCAGTCAGCAGTTGAGCTGCCAACGCTGGAGCAGCCGTCAGAGATCACTCTTCCAGGCTTCATTCATGCCTTCGTCGCATCACTGTCCGTCATTATTGTCTCTGAGATCGGAGACAAAACCTTCTTCATAGCTGCCATTATGGCAATGAAGCACTCGAGACTGACTGTGTTTTTGGGAGCGATATCGGCCCTTGTTCTCATGACCATCCTATCAGGTAAGACCTTGATACCATAGCTAGAATTTAAAATAGTAAGTGAAGAAATCTAAGCATGTGGGATCAGTGAGAATAAGGGTTATTGTGTGTTGAGTTGGGGTTGGTGTGTTTTTGGGGTTGATTTCACACAAGATAATTTTTTACCTTTCAATCCTCGCCCTCCCCCCACCTTGCTATGGGATCAATCATTTTGTCACTTTTTCCTTTTCACATATTTTTACTTCTCTGTTTAAAAGTGTCTGATCAGTTGGTTACAGTTCAACTATCAGCCTATATAGACAATAGACAATAGACAATAGACAAATTCTTTATTCCTTCAACAATATACACATATTGTAATAGACATCGTCAAACTTAACAAGCAATAACAAAATATCAAGGCAACAAATATTTGTTCTGTCAAAAGATACATATAATACATAAATAAATGTCACAAAAATGCAATATCTAATCTGTCTACAATAAGGTCATCTTAACTATGCAACAAAAACTCATATTTCATAAATTCATCTATGTCATAAAAAGGATTTTTTACTAGCCAGGAATACAATACTTTTGCAAATTTTCTTTCTGATAAATTCAGCCAGGCTTTTGGTAACTTGCTAAAGAACTTAAGACCTAAATAACTATGGTAACTCTTTGTATATACTATAACCATTTCATTGAAATCCTAAAGGGTGTTTTATTTACTTTCTTTACATGTCCATGTAATAAGGGAGAAAGACATCTTTACTAAATACAGTGTACATTTTAACTTCATTTGACATTTTCTGGATCTGAGATCTTATATTACAGAACTAGAACACGAAGAATGTGGCTTATTTATTTGTGGCATAGTACTTCTATTAAACTACACTTAGTATGTTTGGATGTAAAAAAAAAAACATATTTTGCATTTATGTTCATACCTCAAGGAAGGAAACTATCTATTACATAAGTTAGTGTTACAACATCACCACTCAACAAACTGTACTAGTACCTGCTGGACCACTTGACACATGTCCTGAACCAATGAACTTTTCCAATTCAGAGACCAAAATGTCTGAAACACTGGTCACTGTTATTTAATTCTGGTATACACACGATGTTCATAAATAATCTGACATGTACATTGTTTTGGTGTCAAATCCAAATATTGTGAAAGACTAAGCAACAAGCTGGTTCAAAACTGACTCAGTTGCTTATGATCTTTGGGCTTTCAATAAATGTTCTTGTCTAAAGAGACAGTTAGTTTTGAAATTTTTCACTAAAACAATGCACTCTCATCTAATGGAGTCAGTTTTATGATGGCTGTTCCGTTAGGTACTGTAATTGTTTGAAGACTCTCTAGTCATTGTAAGTACAACAATCAGTGCCATTGTGTACATGATAGATGGCTGACAAACTTAGTTAATGAATTGCCTTTCAGTACAACTCTTTAGCATGTCAAACATACTTATTACTTAAATTTATCCTCACATTAATCATGTTATAAATGTGCATAGTATTAGCAAATCAAATCAACCCTAAATCTTTATTTTTACAATACTTCAGCAGTATTAAAAACATATGCAGCTAAAAAATTCCAAATTAACATGCGTTGTTAACCCCAATCTAAACTGTTAAAAACATTATTGATTGTGTCCATGAAATGATTACAAATATCAACCCAATAAATATTTTATTCTGTAAATTTGAGTTACACACAGTAACAAATCAGGTAAATAACTCAATCTGTAATTTGAAAAGGAATAAAATCTTAAAATTTTCAATTTGCCACAATTTTGTTCCCACAAGTGTAAGGAAGCTGATTTACAGAATATTTTCAAAACCCATCGATCAATTGTGTTAAGTTTCAAAAGTGTTGCTGCATAAATGGTAAAGTAATATGAAATAAAACGTCTAAACCTCTTTGCTGGACACCGTACATCCATCAATAAAACAGCTAGTCTGGTACTCATTCCATAACAGATTTATGTTAGAAGCCATCCCCTAGTGATTCCAGCGGCAATAAGTTATGAACCTATCCACTAAATAAAATGCATTGGATATCAGTAAAATTTGTATTTGAGTTTCAAATTGTATTTTTACCAGGTGAATTTGTTATACATTCTGGGAGCACAATAAATAACTTGGCACCAGCTTGTGACAGTATTTTTACAAATATCAACATTTTTATTAGGCCTATGTGTTTCGTTTCATACAAATTAGGAGGTGTTGAACAACCAAGTAAAATGTCCATTCCCCTTCAAAATTGCAATAATAGTTGACAAACTGAAGTAAATGTGTCTTTTTCCTGTGTGTTGGTGGCCCTGAACGGCTCACGTGCCAATGCCCATCTCATCATGTCACTGCTCACTTGTCACAATAGTACTGATTGTCACATAATGAACATGACAAACGCTCAAAACTAGCTAACAACACGCCAGATATTTTGTAAGATTATGGGAAATTTGTTTAATGTTCATAATTTATATGTAAATAAGTAAAAATATAAAAGATGGATTTTAAATATACTTATGTTATTATTAGGACTTTCTTGTTTCTAGAGTTAGACAATACTCTTCCTTAGGGCCCCATTGATCTCAGTTCCCTTATTAATGGCTGTTAAAAGTGTCAACCAAGTAAACAAAATAGTTGTGCAAAAGATAGATTCTTATGGTGTTTATAGTTGTTTATATTGATTTACAATTCATAGAAATTTAATACCAAAGGAAGTTTTAATAGTTAAATTTAGTGTTAACATTTTTGTCCTGGAAAATTGAAACTCCTTCCAAATTCAAATCTTAAACGGAATTAAGTAACCTATTAAATTACAACTCCCTATGGCATGGATTTTCGATTGAAAAATATCACATCTGTTAATGTAATGTTACATAAGTAATGTTAAGGAATCCCTCCTAGTCTGTACAATCAATTTTTTTTAAGGACGCTAGGCACTATTGTTGCCCGGGATTGTTTTTCTCATTACTTCAGGCTAGACCTAGGGGTTGCAGCATAGCCACTTAGATCAAATCCATTGGTGATTTTGCAGCATTTCAACCTGGGACCTCAGGGACTGAAGTCCCGTGCTCTAACCACTAGACTAGCTCACTCCCCCTCTGTACAGAATTGGTTTAGTCTGCGACTATGAATTGATCTGTACAATCCATTGGTGCTTTCAAAGAAATATTTTTGGCGAACTTCCCTTTTAGGGAGTAAGCAATAATTACCGAAGGTCTCAAATTGACGTTTTTATGATTTAAAAATATTGTTTTTATCAAATCAACAGTTATTTCAAATAGGTTTGAATAGAGTTTAAGATTTTCACAATTTTGTCCAACAATAAAATTTGAATCTACTTTATTCTCTCCAATACTTGCTTGGTTTTGGTGGAAGGGAATTTTGTAAAAATATTTGATTGGAAAATGATTTTAGTGGATATACTGTAAATCTCCTCTGAGTTTTTTTCTGATTCTTCTGATGTTCTTAGTTTTATTTTATTTTATAGTTAATAGGATAGCTGAAGTATGTTTTAGTGACTGATGCAAATTCAATTTTCAAGTACATTCAATGTTATAAAGTGTAGCTGTTTTATACAGTGTTCGTAGCTAATTCATGCCAACAAATAGGTAACTTTGTCTATGCGTCAAGGCTATGTATGCTGCCTCTAGGTTGGTGTGCCAATTCTTATAACACATTAGTCTTTTGACAGCTAACGTATGTTAGCTTTTATTTTTGGACTTCACTTTCTCACACTTGAATGTTTTAAGAACTGTTTGACCCAAACTGTAATCAAAGGCCTTTAACTTCAATTTATTTTTTTAATTACAAGGAGAAAATACAATAATATCTGATACTGTAAAAACATAAACCAATTAAAACAAATTAAAAAGTAGGCCAGGGCCAATGGTTGTTTTTTTACAACAACTGTAAAGAAGAATAAAGGAGTTCGTGGTATCAAGCTATTAATAGGTAATTTTTTATACAGTAATTTATTTTATTTTCAGTTTTGTAGTTTTTCTAGAGTACAAGTACAAGGTTAAACACAAATATAACAAACAATCACAAGTTAAATTATTTCTTAGTCATTAGTACTATCTTATGTAAAGTATCAAAGTTATCCCCCTCAAACATTTCGCTCTTTTGGTAGATAAAGCACACATCAAACAAGGATAATGTTTGAAGTAACACCTGCGGGGAAAACCCACATTCAACCTACAACTGGTTAAATGAATTGTATTCGCAAAGGATATGTTTATAGACCAAGAGGTGCATCCAAGGGCTTTATAATAGCACTGTACGTTGTAAACTGCAGCCATTTCATTGAACAAATAAAAATGAACCCATTTGCTTTTTCTCATCTTAGATTACATGTTAGAGGACTCACGTTTTAGTGGTCGATAATCGACCCTTATCAGATCAAGGATTAAATCATAATTAGGCATCATAATTGTATATTTTACCACCCGTGATACAAATTCATTTTAAAAGACAATTTTGTATGTAACACTAAATTTCATATTATTATTATTAGCAAAATTTATTATTTAATGAAAATTCATTTTAAAAGACAATTTTGTTTGTAACACTAAATTTCATATTATTATTATTAGCAAAATTTGCTAAAAATTTGCTTACCACAGGTGGTAAAATATACAATTATGATGCCTAATTATGATTTAATCCTTGATCTGGTAAGGGTCGATTATCGACCACGAAAACGTGAGTCCTCTAACATGTAATCTAAGATGAGAAAAGTCTGGTAATTTGAACAATCGATTCTGAGCCAAGCATGCGTATATTGCTAAACTGTTAATCAGTTGAGGGTCACTCTCATTTAAGACGTTGAAAGATGCCATCTAGGTTAGATGAAGATCTGACTTTCTTAGTAATTAGGTCTTAAATATCCACTATTGTATTTTCCTTTATCGAAAAGCACTAGTAAATATGTCACGTTAAGAAGATTTTTTAATACACATGGAGTAGGTTAAAGAAAAGTAATTATAAAACTGAATCCTTTGGAACTATTATTACAAAAT